AATCAAACCACAGCAGCTTCTCCTCCATTAGTGGAGCTTCAACTGTTCAATGTCCTGATGCTGCTCAATAATCCAGGTAGAAAAATCCAACAAAGTTAAGTCAGGTCCTCCGGACGGATTCAAAATAAAAAAATAAAAGATGTTGAAACATTTCATCTTTTATCCAAAGGACTTCTTCAGTCTGAGGAGCTGCAACAAACTCAGTCTTATAAACAGCACCTTCTCATGGTGGATCAACCAGTTTGTTGTTGACATCCTGAACCAGCTGTTCACATGATCAAGGAGGACCATCAGCCTAATAATTGATTTAGTGCTCTAATGGCCGCTTGCTATTCACAGGGGGCTGAGTGATTCTAGCAATAACAGCATTGTTAGAGGGGACAGTTGGACATGGAGGCTCCGCCCCATTTAATAATGGATGGGTTCTCCATAAACATGGCTTCCTTCACTCATCTTTAGAGAGGAACGCTGGTTTGAGAGACGAGTGAAGTGAAGGAAGCCATCTTTGTGAAGAGAAACCGTCCATCATTAAAGAGGGGCGGAGCCTCCATGTCCAACTGTCCCCATCTTACAATGTTGTTATTGCTAGAATCACTCAACCCTCTGTGAATAGCAAGCGGCCATCAGGGCACTAACGATCTGTCGTTATGCTCATGGTCCTTGATCATGTGAACAGCTGGTTCTGGATGTCAACAACAAACTGGTTGATCCACCATGAGAAGGTGCTATTTATAAGACTTGAGATTGTTGCAGCTCCTCAGACTGAAGAAGTCCTTTGGATTAAAGATGAAACGTTTCAAGATTTTTTAATTTTGAATCCATCTAAAAGACCTGACTTCACTTTGTTAGATGTGTGTCTGAATATTAAACACTTGGCACTTAAAAAACCTGAAGTCCTTTCTTTACACGTTGTTTTCCTCCTCGTCCTGCGTTTAACAGAATTAAACTCTTTCCAGCGGCGACCGTTTTTCTTTGCTGGCGTTAAAATAACGAACGCAGTAAGGAGTCGGTCCTCTGCAGTGAGGCATCCCCGAAAGATTCAAAGAGTCCAGACTTTGACTGGGTGAGAACTGGAGGGGAATTTTTTCTGCACTAATATTTAAGGCAAACGTCCAGAAATGTGACGGATTGTTTTCAGCTCGTCTTCAGGTGCCGTCCCTGCAAACGAGCAGAAAACCCCAGCAGGCCGTAATAAGATTACCCAGAATCCTTCTGGGGTTTAGGTCGTCTTGAACGCTTCCCATAGTATATTTATACTTATCGTATTGTCTCCTTTGCTTTAAAAATCATTAATTTTTCCTCCAAGAGTATACAAATTGTTGGCTAGGAAACTTTTTGAATACTCTGTGGAGCAAAGACTGAATGAAACGATACTTCACGTTTTTTTTTTACTGAAACCGTCTAAACTGAGGGAGATTGTGTTTTTCAGTGAAGTCAATTATTTTGAAAAGGTTACTGCATACGCTGTGTGGAAATAAATTATTCAAACGTTTTCCTTGTGGATTAAATTTATTTTAGAATCTGCTGAGCACCACATCCCCTGAATCAGTCTAAAAACTGGAGATGCGCTCGTTAGTTGGTTTAAGTTCTGACGGAGCGCTCACGTTCTCATGCGTCCTCATAAAACTGCATCTTTCAGCCCGCTCTTGTTTTACAGCAGTAATTAAGATGGCTGGTTTGATTAAAAGGTATTAATGGGATTAGAGGCAGCAGCCATCTGGTTCTGGAAGCTCTGGAGGAGTGAAGGCATCGACGTTAACAGGCCAACTGTCACCTGGAGGCTTCTCGGAGAACAAAAACATTTCTGCCATTACACACGTTGAACTTCTCTGCAGCTCGGTGGGAACACAAACATTTAGCAGTTTTTAAGATGAACAGATTTAAGAAAACCACAAAGTTGAGATGATTCGCCGAAGTTTTATTATTTTGAACCACAAACCCGCAACTACCGAACCATTAATTTAGGTCACAACAGAACTAACAAGTACAACAGATCAGTGCATGTATTAAACAAGAAAATAAAAATGGAAGAAGTGTCATTTGCTGCAAAAATGCACCGACAGCTAAATAAATCACGTCGTCTGGACGGTTTCCTTTTTTTAAACTGAGTTTAGGCTAAAAGTTAAATTTAGCGGCATGGTAGAAGGTAAAAGTATCGGGATGAGCTGAAAGATAAAAGTAGAAAAGCTATAGCTAAAAAAAATGTGAAAAAAGTATCTAAAGGTGGCCAAACAGTAGCTAAAACCTAATTAAAGTAAAATAAATGGTAACATGGCTTCCTAAGAAATGATGCATTAAATAAAAACAGCAGAACTTAACGTAAAATCTGAAAGTAGCACAGGAAAAGAATTAGTCCAAGTTTTCAAAATGAACGTAATTTAAAGTCAAAAGTCTCCAAAATGTTTTTAATTCGGCTGCTCCCTCCTTCAGGGTGGCCACAGCGAACTCACTCACTTGGTGATTGTTTTTACACCAGATGTTCTTCCTGACCAACCACAGACGCCGAGCTGCCACAGCCTCTGGAGCAGAGGGCTGACGTAGGGCGCCCGGGGGAGCAGGTGGTGGGGGTTAAGGCCCAGAGCGGGGCAAATAAGGGTGGAGGCGGGTGTGGGTGTTTCACTTTTCTCACCTACATTTTTGATGTTGTTGGTCTGGGGAGTTGAACCGACGACCTTCCAGTCACCCACTTTCTCTAACCTCTGTGCCACCACTCCCAAACTTCACTTCACAAGTATAAACTTTACAAAAACCAAAAGTCGTAGCAGAACTTGGATTTCAAAAACAGAAAAAAAAACAATTATGGTGTGAATCATCACCAGAACATTTCGTACCATTCCACTTTATTTACAGAGCACTTCAAAACAGCAACAAGGCGAACCCAAGTGCTGCACAGCAGAACCAAAGGAGCTAAAATAAAATAACATACATGGATCCACGACGGGAACTGAATACGGATTAAATCAACTCGCTCAGTGTCAAAAGCCCGGGAATAAAAGTGAGTTCTTCAACGAGCATCTGGTCTGCTGATCTCGGAGAGCGCTGTGGGACATATGGCTGCAGCGGATCAGTGAGATGAAGGGGGTAGAACTGTTCAGGGATTTAAAAACATACAGAACCAGGAGCCAGTGAAGGGAGGCCAGGACTGGAGGATGTGCTCCGTTTTGTCTGTACCAGTTACAAATCAGGCTGCAGCATTTTGGACCAGTTGCAAACGTGCAGTGGAGGTCTGACTGATCCCAACAAGAAGTGCATCGACTTCAGACCAGGAGCTGAGTCCCACCAAGACAACCAGATGCTTTGATGACGAACATCCTGCTCTGCTGGAACATCTGGCTGCATCTTTCAAGTGAACAGCACTGATTGATGAGCTCTTCCTCAAAGATGAACCTTCAGTCCACCTCAGGGGCCCCATGTTTGCACTGCCCACTCCAAACACCTCCTCCTCCTCCTCCTCCTCCTCCTCCTGGGCCAGATGGTGCAGTCTTTTCTTTTGTTTACCCATCGCCCCAGAGTTGACTCTCCAGAGCTTAGCGACCAAACCATGGGATCCTCCCGAGCAGCAGCAGCTTCGCTCCACAACGCGTAAGTCATCTTGGTTACCTCCGGCTGAGTGCGCACGCTGGAGGAAACATCTTTGTGGAACATTAGAGATCATCCTCCTCTTATGGCCATCTCAGATTTGTTGTAGCAACTCGACCGGTCCCTTCTTTAAGCTCATTAGTTTTTATTTATATACATGTCTGCACTCTTGTTTCAACGATTCGCTGAGGCGTCGTGAAAACTTGAGCTCCACGCGCTTTTTGACACCTGCGGAACTCGTTACCGTTAGAAGTTTAGCCGCTCGGGCTACTTTTCAGCGGAGACACGTGATTGACAACTGGGAGAGCCAATGGCAGGGGAGGACAAAATCTGTGCGTGCCGCCGTTGCCATGGTTACAGACCGACATTCCAATGATGTGGAACGCGAGGGGCGGGGCTTCAGCGTTAGCATGAGCGGGTGCGCCGTTAAAACGGCAAGAAAACTTTATTTTTTTAAAAGTTAGAGAAGTGATTTAAATACGCTCCCTTTGTCGACGTAAACTGGTAAAAACGTGGTGGGTGACGTTTCTCCCCAGTGACCACCGCGTGCAGCCTGCGCTAACTGCGCTAGCGGGCGCGTGGAGCTAATCGAGCTAACGGTTCTACGTCAGCGAACGTTTTCCGACTTTGTGAAAACTTTTAATTTAAGAACGACTGAGAACAGTTTAACACGAACTAGAGTCGTGGGCAGTGTTGCAGAGACGCACCTGAAAGTCTTTGCAGGGTTAAAGCGTCACAGACGATGTCTCCCAAGTTTACCTGCACAGGTGTGTCTCCTGCCTGATGAATGAACAGACTCGTCACTGAGAAGATGCTTAATGTTTGCATGCACGGGTAGTTATTTGATTGCACGTGAGAGCAGAAATCAAGGTGGCTAACGGCAACTCTTCTGCTTGGTTGTGTGTTTTGTGCCTCAGGTGTGTGGGTGGATGGCTGACACCTGGATGGGACCACTAGCAGAGCTGTGCTGAAACTGACCCCTGCTTCTCACCCATGTGCTGCATTCTGAACCGCTGCTCCTGTTTTCGAAGACGCCCGACAGCTCGGCCGCTCCACGCACGATGGATCAGAAGAGGTTTCCTGGCACAATGTCCAGGCAGCTGGACGCACCGTCCAGGAGACGCCCCTGTGTCGGAGGTGGGATAAGTTGTCCTCAGCCTCCCCCACCTCCTGCTCAGTACGGTCGTATGAAGGCGGTGGAGGTGGCGAGAGGGAGGACGGGCTACGGCTTTACGCTGACGGGCCAAAGCCCCTGTGTCCTCAGCTGCATCCTGAAAGGAAGTCCGTCAGACTACGTGGGGTTGCGCTCCGGAGACTACATCCTCTCCGTCAACGACATCAACGTCTCCAAGGCGTCGCATGAAGACGTCGTCAAACTGATTGGACGATGTTCTGGTGTTCTCAAGCTCGTCATTGCTGAGGGAGAGCATCACAAGCGCCACCACCACCAAAGGACCCCCGGCAGCCGCCACCACAGCAGCAACGCAGTGGCGGCGGCTCCTCTGGACTCCTGCTCCAGCGAAGATGAGCTGGACGGTTTCTATGACAACAGCGTTAGCAACAACATCAGCAGCAGCAGCAGGTCGGGCTCCGGAGCTCACTGGGGCAGGTACAAACCCAAACGGGACTCAAAGCAGCTGGGCATCAACAGAGCAGAGAGGGTGGTGGCAGAGCTGCAGTCTGGAGGAATCTTCAACATGATCTTTGAGAACTCCAGCCACTCGTCCAGCAGCTCGGACAAGGACCGGCCCGGCGTCGCCTCGACTTCAAAGCCTCGTCCAGTGTCTGATCCAGAGTTCTTCCCGTACCGAAATCCCTCTCGCTCCCAGAGCAACCCCAACCTTCTCTCTGAGGAGGAGATGGCCCAGGTTCTGAACGACGATTCGGTCTTCCTGGAGTCAGACGTTCACCACCATCACCATCAAGAAGAGCAGGACTTGGATGGAGGAGAAGGTGGAGATTTTGTCCTAGAACCCAGCGAAGGGATCCTCAACGTGGGGATGGTTGTTGGCTACCTTGGCTCCATTGAGCTCGCCTCCACAGGCACCAACCTGGAGAGTGACAGTGTGCAAGCCATCAGGGGGAGCATGAGGCGCCTCCGGGCGGAGCAGAAGATTCATTCGTTGGTCCTCATGAAGGTCAGGCTGCATCTTCTGTTAACTTGCTGAGAAACTTTGAGTCCGTATCGACACAAGTTTCGACAGCTGCGTGACTCGGCTTCGGTCGAGACGTAATCTTTCTGCGTTGACAGACGTGTTTTTGTATCGTTATGAGAACTACAGATAATTTGCAGTAACTTCTATAAACGTGGTCGTTGTTCATGAAGCCCGTCTGTTCGCTGCGTCGGGTTCTGGCCTCGCCAGTCTCCCTGGCTGCAGGTAATAACGTGCATTATCTCCGTCCAGGTCATGCACGACAGTGTGCGCCTGTGCAGTGACAGAGGTCACGTCTTGGCCTCTTATCCTGCAGAGAAACTGGCCTTCAGCGCCTGTTGTCCCGACGACCGGCGCTTCTTCGGGCTGGTCACCATGCAAGCCTCGGACGACTACGACGACCATCGCCTCAGCGACGGACGAGACGAGGAAGCGGGTTTGAGGACTTCGTGTCACGTGTTCATCGTGGATCCAGAGCTTTGTCACCACCAGGTAAAAACGTGGAGGTAGAAGTGAGGAAGTACAAATTAATGAGATTCCCCCAGCGACTCTGGAAATCAGTGAAAACTTGGAGAACGACTTTCACATTTTCCAGACAGGGAAATCTCAGATCAGCTGATTAAAAGAAGATCTTTCTGAGATTTGGACATGTTCATGTATAAATACTGGTACCATCATTGAGCTCATGTTCTCCTACAGTTGCTGATATATACAGTATAATGAATTAATTATTAGGAATGATTGCTGTAAACTGGATTCTAGTGTTCTTACTGTTATCTGTGACTACCCGCCACCTAAGGCGCCGAGTTCTGAATGTTTTGGGTCTTCTGGACAGAAGACCTGACTCAGCCTCGTTAGATTCATCTACCTGGATTATTGAGCAGGCACCAGGACATTCTGACCATTTTGTGCGTCTGAAGTATCTCCGGGAATTTCAGGATTTACCGTATTTTACACCGTACACGTCGCACCGCCCTATAAGTCGCATCAGTCCAGATATGTCTTAACGAAGTGGAAAAATCCATAAATACGTCGCTTCGCCGTTTACGTCGCATCTATTATACGTCATCGCTGACAACCTGGACATGTGGGCCGGTGTTGTGCCAAAAATCGATTGGCTGCCAAACGGCGGCTGCGGGAGCGTGCACAGGAGGACTTTAATAAGAATTTAACAAGATTAACACTTAAAAACAATAATTTGTTTGCTCCACCTTATAGTAAAGGTGTGTCTCAGTTGAACTTTTACTTCATAAATGCACTTCAATGGTCACATCAGCCGCATTGTGCCGGGGCGGTGCAGCAAAATGAAGCTGGTTTGACGGTTGCTTCAAGCAGCGAGCAGAACCAAGGTGGCAGGCTACGGCAAGCTGATTGTGTCATTAATAGCCACTTTTACCTGTTACATGACACAACAGCATGCCATACTACTCGAGTGCCATCTAGCGGCTGAAAATGGTGGTGTTGAATATTTTCATTCAGAATGAGTGAAAACGGTCACACCTCAGCCAAAAGTTGATAAATAAATACGTCGCTTCGACGTGTTTGTCCCAGGGCATGTAAATTATAGAAAAAACTTGTAGAGCGAAAAATACGGCGTTTAAAGAAAAATGAGGGAAAACTCAAGGACTTTTGTTTTCATGAACAATAACAAAAAAGTTGTATTATATTTATCCTGAGTCCATCCATCCATTATCTTTTACCCGCTTCTTCCATTTTTGGGTCACGGGGGTCGCCGGTGCCCATGTCCAGCAATCACTGTGCGAGGGACGGGGGACACCCTGGACAGGTCTCCAGTCCATCACAGGGACACATAGAGACAAACAACCATTCACTCTCTCACCTAGGGACAATTTAGAGTTAATCAGCCTAACATGCATGTTTTTGGTGTGTGGGAGGAAACTGGAGTACCCAGAGAAAACCCACGCAGCACGGAGAGAACATGCAAAGAAAGGCCCCCAGACCAGGATTTGAACCAGGGACCTGCTCGCTGAGAGTTGCGCCACCGTGCTGCCCTGTCCTGAGTTCAATATAACGTTAAAAATGCTGAAAATGCCTCTTTTTCTGGCAGAACTTAATAAATAAAACCGTGATGGAAAGTCTTGCATTCCTTAAAAAATGCACGTCACCTACTGCTTTTCACGCCAGATTTTTTTTAATCTGGAGAAGTTGCAGCTTTATTCTGCTCGGTGTCACGAGATATAGTCACGGGATCTGTTAATGACACGTGTTGTGAACGACTGTCAGCTACTACCACTCCAACGTTAAGTTCAGCATCTGTAAATTGATATACAGCAGCCTCTCGCTACTTCACGGCTCGTTTATGGCGGACTCGCTCTATCTCGGTTTTTCAAAATAAGAGTGGACATGAGACACAGTTGGCTGATTGATGGATGAGCCGCACGATCGGCATGAAATTTTTATTTAAAATAAATGATTTTGAATTATTTAGCACCTCCTGCACTTTGTTCAGCCCATACTGCTGCAGGATAAACTTCCTGCTGCAGCTGATCAGCTGTTCATCGTGCAGAGCGGAGAAGTGGGCGTGGCTAAGAGGAGGCAGGGATCTGAAATCATGACATTCTGTCTCTTTTGAGCGTTGGTTTAGAACGATTGTTTAGAATATTGAAAGAGTACGGGAAGGGTTTGAAATGCCTTTATATATATGTATACTAACATAAACTACTACTTACTATTAGTACTACTATAAGTACTTGCCGTTTTTTCACTTCAGGGTACGGATCCCCTGCGATAAACGAGGGACTTGTGTATTTCTGAATATTTTAGGGAACAGTAAACCACAGTTTGACCCTCAGGATGTTTTTCCAGCGTTTAGTTTTATTAAGTTTTGTTCGGGCGTCAGTAACTCTGCGCTTGTTTCGTCTGCAGCTCCATTCAGGGGTCGCCAGGAGGTTCGGCTTTGAGTGCACCCCTGACCCAGACACGGGAGGCTGCCTGGAGTTCCCCCTCAGCTCTCAGCCTCTCCTCCAGTTTGTGTCCGTCCTCTACCGGGACATGGGAGACAACATCGAGGGGGTTCGGGCGCGTGCTTTTCACGATCCGGACAACGACGCCCAGCAGAACCACAGCACCAGCAGCAACAGCGACAGTGGGATCGGCAACTTTTTACCCGAAGAGAAGAGCAACCGAGTGCTTTTGGTGGACCTGGGTGGTCCTCCCAGTCACAACCATACGCCCGGGGCGCGGCACTGGGACAGCCCGCCTTCGTCCCAGCAGGCGTGGAGCCCCACACCAGGAGCCGCAGCCGCTCCTCCGCCGCCTCCGATGCTGAGAAACGGCCACTACCTCCACGATCCGCACCTCGCTGACCTCCCTCACCCTCTCCCTCTCCCCTCGACTCACCCCGACGGCCCCGGCAGGCTTTCACGAGGGCTCCACCCACACCACTACTCGTCGGGGAAGCTGGGAGGAGCAGCTGTGGGAGGAGAAAGGAGAGGGGCTGGAGGAGCAGCAGGGGTGGAGCCGCAGCGGTGGCTGCCCGTCCACGTGCTGAGAGACTGGCGTCAGCAGCAGCACCGCCACCACTTCCAAGGTCTGAGCAGCGACCAGGAGTCCTACGCCGAGTCCACCGACGGGTGGTCTTCAGCCAACTGCAGCACTCTGCCCCCGCCCATGAATAAGATCCCGGCAGACCGCTACCGGGCCCCGTTGGCCCCTGGGGACCACTTGCAAAAGCCTGGTGGGAGCCAGGCTCCTCCTGCACCTCCCCACGCTCACCGGCTGGCTGCGCACAAAGACGAGTGGGCCAAGAAACTGTTCGGTGAGCGGGAACGCACCGGAGCCCGGAGGAGCGTGAAGGAGAAGAAGCGAGAAGGGACCTGGAAGGAGGGCGAGAAGAAGGTACGTCCTCCACAAACTAAACTTCCTTCAGGTGTCGGGACTTCTCGTCTTTATCAAAGCAGCGGCGTGAAGTTTTCTGTGAAGAGCAGGGCGTCGGGGTGTTCGCTCAGAGAGTCGTGTCAAAAGTGGCTCTGAGATGAGAAGCCCCCGCCGCGGCGTGCACCCCCCACATCACACATCCCTGCTGTGGAGTCGCTTTGACCAGAGTCCTCCGCCGCAGCTTATTGAAACTATAAATCCACGAGTGCTCGACTGATTGGTGGACGTAGTCACAGTCCACTGCAGATTACACCGTGCACGACTGTGCATGTGACTAACCTACTCATCTAAAGAATGACTTTTCCCTCTGGTTAAATTTAAATTAACTGCGTTCACCCAGCTAATAATGTGAGCAGCCCGCAGGCTCACGACCCTCCCCCATCATGTATTATGCACTAACAGACATCTGCCTTCACCTGAACACCACCTGTCTCCACCTTAATGAGACTCCGAGTGATGCTGGTGCAGATTCACGCAACCTTTGGTTTCTTTTAACATTTAAATTAGCCTCACCGTTCACGCTCCTTATGACTGACAACAGGAACAAGAAGCAGAACGAGACCTGACCCGTCTCCGTTCGAGCCTTTTGAAGCGGTGAAGCGTCACGTGCGCTCTGGTGGTAACAGGATTTTATTTCTACGAGCGTCACGTGCGCTCTGGTGGTAACAGGATTTTATTTCTACGAGCGTCACGTGCGCTCTGGTGGTAACAGGATTTTATTTCTGCAAGCGTCGTGTGAGAGAGGGCAGAATCACCTGGTGCTGACCAGGTCTCAGGAGGACCATGCAGCCGGACAGGAGCCGGTTTCTAATATTTAATGAAAGTCTAAAGGCAGGAAGTCGAAGAGTGGTGAGCAGCTGGAGTGACGGTTTGTTCAGCGACTCTCAGCCGAAGTTTTTCTCTGAACGTTCACGAAGCGTTCACACTCAGCCGTTCGTCCTCCGGACGTTTTTTCTGCGTCTTTCTCGTCCCGCAGTTTTCAGCTCTTTCAACAAAACATGAATCAAAACGTTCAGCTCTTTCAGGACAATCCTGCTATGCTGGTGCATCTTTAGCTGTTTGAGATATTTAGCCTTTTCTGACATTTTTTTTCCTCATAGAAAATGAACTGAGCTCATTTTACAACTTTTTACTGCTCCTTTCACATTTTGTTCTGCTTCTGCTTCTTTCAGCTTCCTGCTGCAAATTTAAATGTTTTTTCAGCTACTTTCAGTTAACTTCAGCTATTTTACGCTCCTTTCAGCTTCTTTCTGCTAACTACAACATTTTTGTGTTTCTTCTAACTTCTTTCTGACCATTCCAGCTTGTTATGTTCCTTTCAGTTTATTTCTGCAAGTTTCATCTTTTTCTGCTTTTCAGCTACTATTTAGCTGTTTTCATGCAAATTTTAGCTTTTTCAGCTAATTCCACATTTTTTGCACTCATGTCAACTTTTTCAGCCTAATTAAGCAAACATGTTGTCTCTCCGCTTCTTTCTGGTAATTTCAGCTTCTTTCTGCTTTTTTTTAGCTACTTATCAGCTGTTTTTTAAAATTATTTCAGCTTTTTTTCCCATAATTTCCACATTTTTGTGCTAATTTCTGCTTCTTTCAGCCTAATTGGGCAAACGTGCTCTTTCTTCTGCTAATTTAAACTCATGCTTTTCAGCTATTTTTTTGTTCACGTTTTTTTTTTTTTAGCATTTTTCAGCTGTTTTTAGATAATTTCAAGTTTTTCATGATAATTTTTTGCTACTTTCAGCCTAATTAACTTCTTTATGTTAATTTCAGCTTACTTATGCTAGTTTCAGCCATTTCTGCTGCTATTTAGCTGTTTTTATGTTAATTTTTAGCTTTTTCAGCCAATTCCAGATTTTTGGCTCATGTCAGCTCTTTCTGCTTCCCTCGGGTAGTTTAAGCTTCGTTCTGCCTTTTAGCTACTTTTCCAGCTATTTATTTAGCTAATTTCAGCCTTTTTTCACTATTTTCCTAATTTTTGTGCTCATTTGTGCTTATTTAAACCTACCGGTATTTCAGCAAACGTGTGCTTTTTCTGCTGCATGTTCTTCCATTTCAGCTCCATTTCAGCATGTTTTTGGCTGATTTCAGCTGTTTTCAGCAAGTTCTTCAGCAACAAGTATTCACACTGCATTTTCACAGGAAGCGCAGCTCCTCTGGTTTCCTTTGTCTTCTTTGTGACTTTAGTGATATCTTGTGTTGCCCTGCTCTTTTTTACAACTTTGTTTCATCTTGTTCAGGTTTGCTGCTGTGGGTTTACGCAGACCTCCTAAAGTCTTTACCACAGATATTTGGCACGCACCTCGCCTCGTTCGGCTGTTGTTGCACCAGCCGCCTGTTTGTGACCCAGCTTGGGCTGAGCCTCGGCTCTAGTGCAGCAACTCCACGGTTGTTTCTAAAATATGTTGGTATTCAGAAGAGCTCGTGGTCATCTTGATGACTTCAAGGTGTCCAGACTCCGGCTGTGGAACATCAACCCTCCACCACCGTGCTTCACAGTTGGTCTGACGTCTTTGTTCTGACATTCAGTGTTTGGTTTTCTCTAAAAATAACGAGTGCATCACTCGTCTCCCGTGAGACTCGTGGTTTGTCCAAATGCAACTTTGAACCTTGGAGTCTTTGTTCTGCCAACACGGCCATGAAGCTGTTGGTTCACTCAGACGATTTGTTTACAAACTGTCGTGGTTATTTCTGTCGGCTCGCACCACGACGGTCCCCGCTTCAAACTTAGGATGCGGACGCTGTTTCATGGTGACGGAAAGATTTCATGTTGGAATTTACAGTTTTATCAGGAGGGCTGTCCGTCCGTCCATCCTCTTCCTCTGGTGAGGGGAGGAACGTAGACCGACCAGTAAACAGAGAGCTTTGCCTTACAGCTCAGCTCTCTCTTCACCACAACGGACCGGCACAGAGTCCACAATACTGCAGACGTTGCACCAATCCGTCTGTCGATCTCACGCTCCGTTCTTCCCTCACTCCTCTTGAACGTGAACTCCTCCGCTCGAGGCAGGACCTCACCCTCGACCTGATGAGAACGTCCACCTTTGACTTTTTCACTACATACCTGCTGCAGTGTTTGTGTGTGGCCTCACGACTCTTCCCAGCCCAACGTCCTTCAACTGTTATTAGTCAAAGGTTATTTCTGGTGTCTTTCCTCCTTGGGGTGGAGTTAACACACCTGAACGTTTCAGAGCAGCTAACTGCTAAAACGTAAACTTTTATAAAGGAGCTCATGCGTTCCAGTGATGAATCTTCTTGATAAGCAGCACAGGCTGCCTCGTATTCTTAATGGAAGCATCAGGTGTGCGTTTAGTTTTTCCACACATGTTTTAACATTGTGTCCGAGTTAAAGACACGGCGTTGCATGTTCGTGTCAGGTCGTATTTGCCGTTTCCTGCTACGTAAACATTCAAACTGGCAGAAATACTCATTCGTGTTAATTATTGTTTATAAAACATCAACTCCATTTGTATTTACATGTAGGAAACGTACTGAGGACAGTTTCCTTGAAGCTGTTGCTTCTTGTGAAGCCGATGGGTGGACGGCGTCCCAGGACGAGGGACAATCGCAGGAAGTTTTACAATAAAGTAAAGAGACCGACGGTGGCAGGAAGCTGGACGTGAAGCTTCATGAACAACGTCCTCACACTGAACCGTTTTAAAGTTCACTGTGAGCGGGTTAACAAACTCAGAACTAAATATGAAAGGATCATTTTATTTACTTTAAACTCGTTTTCAACGTTTCAGGACGTTGTGTAACTCGACACACGGTGGCACTGTTTCACTGCAAACCTCAGCCGTCCTCGTGAAGCCTCTTCAGGTCGTCCCTTCTGAAGCCTGGCACTAACGAACACTTCTAGTTGACACCAGGACGGCTCGGTTGTTTTAAATGTGCCTCACGACGATCCTCGAAGTTTAATCTGGATGGAAACACGATTAATGGAGCAGGAAGTCCTCACGTGTCTCAAGTGCAAACGAGAGAACGATGTCGGTTCTGCTCACCGACGGTTTTAGGTGAATTGTTGTAAACAGGAAAGATGCTCGTTATGTAGTGGCTGGTGTGTGTGTGTGTGTGTGCGCATGTGTGTGTGTGAGGAAGAGGAGGAGCAGATCAGCTCAGCAGGTAGGAGCTGTGAGGTTTGTTTCTCTGGTCTAGCTCAGCCCCAAACACTTTGTTGAATTCACAACAGCTGTTCCTAAAATCTTTGCTGGTCTGTTAAACTTTGTCGTCACGGTCAGGTTTGAAGCTGACCTGGACCAAGAGGGGTCATGTGCTTGTGTCCACACATTTAATCAAGTGTTTACATCTTCGTTCTCTGACGTGCACACAGAAATGCACGTGGAAACGCACATCGACTCCGTATCCAGGCAACACCACTGGCTCCGCCTGAAGAGATGCAGACGCCTCAGAAACAGGAGCTCAGCTCTCGTTTGTCTCAAACCTGTCGGCATCGTTTAATTACAGAGGGGAGAGGGAATGGCTGTCTCGTTAAGTGTCCCTGTGAGGGACTGGAGACCTGTCCAGGTGTCCCTGTGATGGACTGGAGACCTGTCCAAGGTGTCCTTGTGATGGACTGGAGACCTGTCCAGGTGTCCCTGTGAAGGACTGGAGACCTGTCCAGGTGTCCCTGTGAAGGACTGGAGACCTGTCCAGGTGTCCCCCACCTCTTGCACAGTGACTGCTGGATATGGACACCAGTGACCCGACAAGGAAGACGCTGCTAAAGATGATGGATGATGGATGTATGTATTAGTGGATGATGGATGGATGATGGATGTATGTATTAGTGGATGATGGATGGATGATGGATGGATGGATTAGTGGATGATGGATGATGGACGGATGGATGTATGGATTAGTGGATCAGCAGCTGCCACCTACATGTGCCTCCTCCTGCAGTAGATAGAGTTGGTCCGGTTGCTCTTTGTGACAGTGCAGAGAGAAGACGGATTATTTCTGTGTTTCTGACAGAGCAGCAGTTGTGAGGCAGCAGGTTATGAACTCATGAGTTCACCACTTCATCAGTGCTCCCAGAATCTACTGCACCACTCAGCGGGGTGATGTCATCGTCAGATGGTGCTGTAATAAATCTTGACGGTGTTGCCATTCATTTTCGTTGTTGGTGGTTTATGGCATCACGTCACTTCAAGTTCCTTTAAATATAACTCGGATCAGCTGGTTTCCACCACTGGAACAGAAATGCACTGGAATGGTAACTGGTGGCACTGGGTGAGATCTGTAGCTGCTACACTGTATCATGTTGTTCACATGTCGAAGCCACACGTTGTAAACGCCTCGTGTCAATTCTGACTTTAATCTCAAATTATGACTTTAATCTCAAATTATGACTTTAATCTCAGAATTCTGACTTTAATCTCAGAATTCAAGGTTCTTTATTGTCATTCTCATCACATGGGGTACATGAGGTGGAACTAAATTATGTACTCAAGGTCCCAGTCACACCCAAAAATAGCAAAAATATAAAGTATAAAAAGGAACGGTATATAAGGATCTAAGATATTCACTAAACATTAATAATGTAAAATAATACAGTGCATTAAACAGCAGCTTGATTCAGTTCAATTCTGGCTTTAATCCTAATTCTGACTTCAATCTCATAATGATGACTTTTTTTTCTCAAATTCTGACTTTAATCTCAGAATTCTGACATTTTTCTCTGAATTTTGACTTTTTTTTCTTCAGAATTCTGATTTTAAGATCAGAATTTGCCTTTAATCTCAGATTTTTTTTCTCTGATTTCTGACTTTAATTTCATTATTTAGACTTTTTTCCACAGAATTCTGATTTTAATCTCAGAATTTGCCTTTAATCTCAGATTTTTTTTTCTATTCGAATTCTGAGTTTAATCTCATTAGACTTTTTTCCACAGAATTCTGATTTTAATCTCAGATTTTTTCTCTTCGAATTCGAATTCTGACTTTAATCTCATTATTTAGACTTTTGTCCACATAATTCTGACTTTAATCTCATTATTTAGACTTTTTTCCACGTAATTCTGACTTTAATCTCAGAAGAATTCTGACTTTTTTCTCCAAATTTTTTTTTAAAATTTGGGGTTTGATCATTACAAGTGATCACAAAAATTGCGCTCCTTGGCTGAGTTTAGATTTTTTCCTCAGATATTTATGATCTGCTGCCATGCTAAGAATGCTACGTAGCTCCTAGCAAGATGGTGGCACGACTTCTCACCTCATGAACATGAACTTTGCAGCAGTCGACCAATCCAGTGCTTTTCTTTTAACGTGGTTGTCACAGCCTGTTCTGCAAACGTCAAAATGGATTTATTGTTTTAACGCGTTTCACGTGATTGGTCATCTGTTCCTCAGATTCTTCAGTGAGGAACAGATGATGCACCTCCACCGTTCTTATGACATCTGTCCGGTGTGTCACCGTGTTTTTTAGTAATATCATTGCAGGTGACTCAGTAGTAGCCGACACTGCAGGCACATTTCACAACATGCCTGTACGTGGAAGAAATGTGCCTTTCTCCAGAGAACAGGAACTTTTCGACTCCACGCACCGACGCCTTCGGCTCCTACAACTCGCCTGGTTGTGCATTTGCTACATTATTTTGAATAATTCACCTGATGGGGTCATTTAAATTAGATTTTGTTATAAATTATAATAATTAAAACTAATCATCTTAAACAAGAGGAGCGTATTTTTAAAACTACAGTGCATGCACCAAATGTTTGCATCTTTAAGTTTCTGTCTGTTGCAGTTATTTTTAACGGTCTGAATTGTTTTTGAAGTTTTGAGTTGTTTTTATTAAAAGGTTGGAACATCTAAAGAGTTTAAGCTGCTTTATCCCTATTTTTTTTAATAAAAGTGTTTAAAATCAACACAACTACTGTGGGTCCAACAACACTCAGTCAGCCAGACTGCTCAGTGGATAAAATATCTACACTTTATATAAAAAATGTAACTAGATTTATGTTTTCAAGACTTTTGGAGATTTGTCACTGAGTTTTTTGAACTGTAGATTAATTTGTAACTCGCTCAAATTGAATGCATGAATATATTTTGTCGTCAGGGTGGTCGTTTTCGTGGACTGACGATGGGATTCCCTCCTCTCCCTCAGCGTTCTTCGGCCCGACGCTCCTTCGGACGCTCCAAACGTCTCAGCATGGCTCGCTCGCTGGACGACCTGGAGGTGAGGAGCACTCACGCGTTCTGTTCGTTAAGTGTCGTTATCGAGCTCGGGGTCTCTCGTGCAGTTTGTCCCATTCGAAACGTGTGCATCCCTGACGATAGCGGCCCGTCCTCGCATGACATGACGAGCCCTCAGCCCACGTCGCCGTGGCAACACCGACGCACTCGTTAACAGAGTTGTCTTCTAGAAACGGAGCAGGGCCGGATTTCTTCACAGAGGAGCACGTGAACGGGCACACGCTGAACTGAATCTTAATTTCAGACCAATCTCAAAACTTCCCTTTCTTTCTAAAATTTTGGAGAAAATTATTTTTATTCATTTAAACGAGTTTATGAATGAAAATGGAATTTTTGAGATTTTTCAGTCTAGTTTTAAACAACCAGACAGCCTCAAAACAGCTTTAGTAAGGGCTTGTAATGACATTGTGTTAGTAAATGACTGTGGTCAGTTTGTGGTACTTGTACTCCGGGACCTTACTGCTGCGTTTGAGACTGTGGACACCGTTTCCTCTTACTGTGACTAGAACGCTGGGTTGGGATTACAGGTGCAGCGCTAGAACGAGTGTCTGCGTTCATGTTGGTAATAGTTTATCTGCTTCAGTGCCTCTTTCATGCGGGGTCCCACAGAGCTCTATTCTTGGACCCCTTCTGTTTTCACTGTATCTGCTCCCTTTGGGGTCTATCCTGAAGAAACATGGTCTTTCTTTTAACTGCTATGCTGATGATTGTCAGATTTATCTGCCCTAAAACCAAATAGTTATCTCTCCATCCACCCTCAGTTTAAATGTCTTGATGACATCAAGGCATGATGACGTCAAACTTTTTAGTTTTCAACGATCAGAAAATGAAGTCATCGTGTTTAGCCCTAGCTCTACTTCTGTCTCTGGTCCTGCAAATCTGGACTCTCTTCAACCATACCTTAAACAGTCTGTTACAAATCTCAGGATGGTTTTAGACTTTAAGTTTAATAAACAGATTAACTCTGTTCTACTAAAAAGCTTCTTCCAGTTAAGGCAGGTAGCTCAGCTTCAGTCAGTGTTGACCTGATCTGACCTTGAACAACTAGTCCATTCCTCCATTACAACCCGACTAGACTACTGCAACGTGCTTCATGCTGAAGTCAGTCAGGTCTCCCTTTCACGTCTCCAGCTCGTCCAAAATGTTGCAGCTCAGCTCTTAACAGGAACTCGTAGGTTTGAACATATTTCACCAGTTTTGTCCTCGCTTCACTGGCTCCCAGTACATGTCAGAATTCATTTTTTAATTCTCCTTTTGACCTTTAAGTGAATTAATGGCCTTTAAGGTCAAAAGGAGAATTAAAAAATGAATTTTGCACCCTCATATATCTCTGACCTACTTCAACCAGATGTTCCTTCTCGGGCCCTGAGATCATCTGACCAGCTGCTTTAGGTTGAAGCTCAGAGGAGATCAGGCTTTTTCAGTCGTGGACCCTAACCTCTGGAACAATCTGCCCCCCACCATTAGACAGGCCCCTTCACTTCCTTCCCCCTTCACTTACAGGTCTCTGCTGTAAACGAGTCCTCGTGGCTCAATGAGACTAACTCGTATAAATAAAGCTTGAACGAACTTCCTGCTTTTAAATCTCCTCAAAACAAACTGTTTTCACAGATTTGATTTAGTATTTCATTGTTTTTATCTTTTTATGTTTTACTCTTGACGCTTTCAATGATTTATTCTTTAATTAATGCCTTTGATCTTATCGTTAAGCACTTTGCTAACAGCTGTTGTTTTAAATGTGCTTTATAAATAAATTGGACTTGACTTGGCACAGAATGCTGCTCACCTCCGTCTTGCATAACATCATGTTTAAAAATTCACAGCCAGTAAATTAGTTCTGTTTTCTCTTCATGACAGCAAGTAGCTAATTTTAGTAGCTAATTTGTGAGTACCGTATTTTTGGCTGTATAAGTCGCACCTTTTTGCATAAATTAGCATGCATGCGACTTATATACGTTTTGTTCCCATGTTTATAACCATATTTATTTTGGCTGAGATCTGACGTTTTCATTCATTCTGACATGGAAAATATTGAACACTACCATTTTCTGCCACTAGAGGGTGCTCGAGTAATATGGCAAGCCAAGTGTCTCAGTAGTGGGTAAAAGTGGACATTAATGAGACATTAGCTTGCCATACCAAGCCACCGAGACGCTCCGGAGCTCCTGGAGCAAATCAGCTGCATTTTATTTATGTTTTTTCCACTTTATTAAACGTATTTGGAGTGATGCGACTTATACAGCAGCACGATGGCTCAGCGGTTAGCACCGTTGCCTCACAACAAGAAGGTCCTGGGTTCAATCCCCGGTTGGACCTCGGGTCTTTCTGGGTGAATGTTCTGCTCGTGCATGTTGGTCTGCCTGCAGGTCCAGGCCGCCCTTGCAACAGAGACCTGTGATCTCACGGGGATTTGCCTGGTTCAATAAAGGTTAATAAAAAAATACGGCGGTGCACCGTGTACGGTGGCAACTACGGTAACTGATATGGTTCTTTTAGCATTTACATACAGTTTAGCTAATTTTACTCTGTTTGGATATTTTTGTCGTATGTTTTGTTGCTTTTAGCTTTAACTGCAGGTTTGCAGATTTTAGTTGATTTCGCTGAAACATGTTTCTGTTTTGCTGCTAAGCTTTTCCTTAGCATCTGTTTGGCTTTATTTATCTACTGATCTGCTGCTTTCAGTTTTAGCTGTAATGGTTCAGTTTTAGCTGTAATGGCTCAGTTTTAGCTGTAATGGTTCAGTTTTAGCTTCTGTAGCAAACTTCAGCTGTCATTTAGCACTCGGCTCGCACTCTTCATGTTGTCTTGCTGTGTGTTTCTACTCATTCTTGTTGATTTGAGAACATCAGGAGGAGCAGAGGAAAGTGGTCGTTTTACTTGTAGTTTGCTGTTGTTCAGGAGAACTCAGTGGGTCCAGACTTGTGTTTAATGTTTTTAATTTTAGGTTTGGGCTTTTACTGTGCATCTTTATTAGTTGTGAATTATTGAATTTCAAAGTAGGTTGTACTTTATGTAACCGCACACTTGGACTGTTTCTGCTGAAATAGCTCCGCTGTTGCACAAATTCATCTTTTGTTCTTCTTTTAGATGGAAGTGATGCTTGAGGTCGAGTCATTTGAGAGCCATGAGTTTAGTTTAACAATCTGCCCATTTAGTTCTGCTCCACAGCTTCCGTGAAGAGAAAATCTCAAACAGCTTTTCTCGTCCTCGGATGGAAACATCTGCATCCTTGAGTTATTTTAGGTGATGCATTTTTCTGTTCCCGTTGTCCTAGGCCACTCACAAAGCCGAGCACGCTCTACTTTTAGTGTAAACTAAAAAATGTGTGTGTGTTTGTCGTCACGGCTCGTCTGTTTGTGCGAGTTTATTTTTGAGGGCTGGCCGAGTCCGAAGGAGAGTCCCGCTCTCGAACACGATGCTGCCGAGATACAGATCAGAGCTAAATGTTTCCGTTGTTTGACCGGAGGACCCCGGGAGCAGATCAACCAAACCACTCGTTGCTTCAGTACCGCTCCTCTTGGTTTTTATCGTCTCTGCATTTTTGTTTCTCTGTTTACTACACAACAGGAAGCGCAAAGAAAGAGAGCGGGCCTAAAATTGTTCTTGCGTAACGTTGTAATTTTTCATGATTTAAGTTCGATTTTCCAACAGGAGCTGATATTGATGGTGATTGATCTGCACTGATCTTGTTTTTGTTGCTTTCAGTGTTTCACTAAAACCACGTGCACCGGTCGTTCAACGTTTTTAAACTCGCGTTCATCTGACGCTTCTTGGTCTGCGAAGTTCTTACCTGCTACTCGCTTCCTCCTGTTTTAGATGACTGTGATTTAGAAAACAAATATTCGTTCTGCAAGAAGCTCTCCTGCTACAAGTCGGTCAGACTTGCTGCTTGCTGATGCTGTGAAAGGCGAGTCAGGTGTCCTGATGCACGCGCAGGTAAATGCACCTGGAAGGGCTGAGCCAGGTCCTCTGGACGGGTTCCTCTTTGTTGAAACGTTTCATCTTCATCCAAAAGACTCGAGGCAGAAAACTCTGCCTCTAACTTCAGACACACAAACAAGGTAACTGTAATGGTGGAGGGAGTGACGCTCACCTGAGGCACTTCTGCCTCATCAACCAACATCAGGGCAAAGAAGACGGAAAAAAATCAAACGCTAATAAACTTAAAGTTACAGCGGTGGATGTTTTCACGCCGCAGAGCAACACGGGGCAGTAATTTATAATGAAATTTAATGTGTACTGTGTAAACTATTAAACACTTTGTGTAAAGTCAGTTTAGTGTTAACTGATCATAACGAACAAAGATTAAACTTATGAAACCAGAAGTTGCAACATATATCTACATATAAAACACAACAAGCTTTAATCGCTAATCTTTAATTTAACCATTAAACGTGCGACGTAATTCTGACAGACTGGAGGATTTACCTTCACACACATGAACATGTTCCTGTTTATCACTTAAATCAGCTGATCAGGATGTTGGCCGCAGGCTTTTATCGCATTTTAAAGTTTTCCAGTTTCCATAAACAAACAAACAAAAAACGCCAATGCAAGAATTTATTAGCATTGGCTAATTAGATTATTATTTATTTGCAAAATGCTAACATGACATGTGTCAGCCTATTCGTTATCTTTGGAATATTATAAAATTAGAATTAATTTAAACAAGCAAAAATTCCATTTTATTTATTACGACCAATTAAATATTTAATTGCCGTATTCAGTTTATTTGTAAAGCACCAAGTCGCAACAGGAGTCGGTCTCAGGGACCGAACAGAATCATTCATACATAAAATAATATAAAATAATAACGATTGTTGTCAAATCTAAATCAAAGTGTTTATTTCCGCGTGTCATGCCCGTGTTGGCCCAGAGCTCGGTCGGGAGGCGACACGTGACACGACGTGTTCGAGTCCAAGGATCAGTCGAGCTGCTGCCATCCGTGGGTGCAGGAACAGAACGTCGCGATCACTGGAAGAACCAAACGATTAAACGTCTGCACAAATTATGCAAAACGTTTTTTAATCATAATAAAAACTGTGCAAGTTTTTTTTTTGTCAGTTTTACAGTTTCACAGAGGGGGTGTCCTTCTGCCCACCCCCTCTCTTCTACCTTGTTCCGGTTGTTCGGCCGTGCTTTGTGCCGT